GTTTAATTGGGGTTTAATTGGGTTAAATCTGGTTTAATTGGGGTTTAATTGGGGTTTAATGGGTTTAATGGGGTTCAATTGGGGTTTAATTGGGGTTTAATGGGGTCTGAGGGGGTTTAATGGGGTGTAATTGGGGTTTAATGGGGTCTGAGGGGGTTTAATGGGGTCTGAGGGGGTTTAATGGGGTCTGAGGGGGTTTAATGGGGTCTGAGGGGGTTTAATGGGGTCTGAGGGGGTTTAATGGGGTCTGAGGGGGTTTAATGGGGTCTGAGGGGGTTTAATGGGGTCTGAGGGGGTTTAATGGGGTCTGAGGGGGTTTAATGGGGTCTGAGGGGGTTTAATGGGGTCTGAGGGGGTTTAATGGGGTCTGAGGGGGTTTAATGGGGTCTGAGGGGGTTTAATGGGGTCTGAGGGGGTTTAATGGGGTCTGAGGGGGTTTAATGGGGTCTGAGGGGGTTTAATGGGGTCTGAGGGGGTTTAATGGGGTCTGAGGGGGTTTAATGGGGTCTGAGGGGGTTTAATGGGGTCTGAGGGGGTTTAATGGGGTCTGAGGGGGTTTAATGGGGTCTGAGGGGGTTTAATGGGGTCTGAGGGGGTTTAATGGGGTCTGAGGGGGTTTAATGGGGTCTGAGGGGGTTTAATGGGGTCTGAGGGGGTTTAATGGGGTCTGAGGGGGTTTAATGGGGTCTGAGGGGGTTTAATGGGGTCTGAGGGGGTTTAATGGGGTCTGAGGGGGTTTAATGGGGTCTGAGGGGGTTTAATGGGGTCTGAGGGGGTTTAATGGGGTCTGAGGGGGTTTAATGGGGTCTGAGGGGGTTTAATGGGGTCTGAGGGGGTTTAATGGGGTCTGAGGGGGTTTAATGGGGTCTGAGGGGGTTTAATGGGGTCTGAGGGGGTTTAATGGGGTCTGAGGGGGTTTAATGGGGTCTGAGGGGGTTTAATGGGGTCTGAGGGGGTTTAATGGGGTCTGAGGGGGTTTAATGGGGTCTGAGGGGGTTTAATGGGGTCTGAGGGGGTTTAATGGGGTCTGAGGGGGTTTAATGGGGTCTGAGGGGGTTTAATGGGGTCTGAGGGGGTTTAATGGGGTCTGAGGGGGTTTAATGGGGTCTGAGGGGGTTTAATGGGGTCTGAGGGGGTTTAATGGGGTCTGAGGGGGTTTAATGGGGTCTGAGGGGGTTTAATGGGGTCTGAGGGGGTTTAATGGGGTCTGAGGGGGTTTAATGGGGTCTGAGGGGGTTTAATGGGGTCTGAGGGGGTTTAATGGGGTCTGAGGGGGTTTAATGGGGTCTGAGGGGGTTTAATGGGGTCTGAGGGGGTTTAATGGGGTCTGAGGGGGTTTAATGGGGTCTGAGGGGGTTTAATGGGGTCTGAGGGGGTTTAATGGGGTCTGAGGGGGTTTAATGGGGTCTGAGGGGGTTTAATGGGGTCTGAGGGGGTTTAATGGGGTCTGAGGGGGTTTAATGGGGTCTGAGGGGGTTTAATGGGGTCTGAGGGGGTTTAATGGGGTCTGAGGGGGTTTAATGGGGTCTGAGGGGGTTTAATGGGGTCTGAGGGGGTTTAATGGGGTCTGAGGGGGTTTAATGGGGTCTGAGGGGGTTTAATGGGGTCTGAGGGGGTTTAATGGGGTCTGAGGGGGTTTAATGGGGTCTGAGGGGGTTTAATGGGGTCTGAGGGGGTTTAATGGGGTCTGAGGGGGTTTAATGGGGTCTGAGGGGGTTTAATGGGGTCTGAGGGGGTTTAATGGGGTCTGAGGGGGTTTAATGGGGTCTGAGGGGGTTTAATGGGGTCTGAGGGGGTTTAATGGGGTCTGAGGGGGTTTAATGGGGTCTGAGGGGGTTTAATGGGGTCTGAGGGGGTTTAATGGGGTCTGAGGGGGTTTAATGGGGTCTGAGGGGGTTTAATGGGGTCTGAGGGGGTTTAATGGGGTCTGAGGGGGTTTAATGGGGTCTGAGGGGGTTTAA